GCCATCCTTGTCACAAAATCAAAATTTCTAAGCGCCCATAGGCGCCCTCCGTGTCAAACGCAAAATTTCTTACCGCCTATAGGCGCCATCCTTGTCACAAACGCAGAATTTCTAAGCGCCCATTGGTGCCTTTCGTGTCACAAATACAAAATTCCTAAGCGCCCATAGGCGTCCACAGTAGACAACAGGTTAAATCGAAGGGATCGCGTTTGAAATTCGCGTCTGCGTAATTTAACGCACGCGGCGTCGACGTGTTTGGCGTAGGTTCTAGACGCAAGATCACGGTGTACGAAGCGTAACAAAACCAGCGGGGACGCATTACCGTGGAACGGTGTTCCGTGCGAGTGGCAGGAGTTGCTGGTGGTCGAACAAACAGCGTGTGCAAAGCGTAATCGAGATCTCGCAAATATTCGCGCATCGGGAACGGCGAGAGTCGGGATGGGAACGTTAACGAGAGACGTCTCGGCTATTTGCCGATGACGCCGTAGCCCCCTTTGGGGCGTTTCCGGCGCAGCGACGCACCGAAAAAGGCCGTCGCTGGCATCTTTCCGACACGGCCGTGCCGGTGCATTCGCGCGCGTGCACTCGCGCGATCAAAGGCAGGCTCGATGAGGTAAAGTTTTTCACCGAGTAATTAAACTTGCCGCGTTATGAAATTCATTGAACGTACAGGCGCACCCGTATCACGGCTGCAGGCGGAGCGCTGATTCGAACCAGCCGCGAGCGCAAACCATTCACGAACCAGTGCGTTTATGATGCAGTGAGACAGTCAAATGCACACGCGTATTGTATCGCTGAGGGTTAATAGAATTTGCCAATGGTATTTCGGCAGTGGAACGATGGAATGGGAAATTTGGCCTGTTTGCTCGATTCGCTTATGAAAGGACCAGAGGTCGAACCCTTTCTAGCGGAAGTAACTTCGAAACGCGGGGTCGTGCAATTTTGTCTATGTGGCGCTTCTAATTTCTGTATTCGCTGTTCGATGGCAGCTCGCGCGAGCATCAATGATAGATTAATCCTATGCAGACATAAAATTGCTCCTTTAACCCCTTGACTACTGTGGGCGCTTAAGAATTTTGCGTTTGTGACACGGAAGGCGCCTATAGGCGCTTAGAAATTTTGCGTTTGTGACAGGGAGGGTGCCCATGAATGCTTAGAAATTTTGCGTTTGTGACAGGGAGGGTGCCCATGAATGCTTAGAAATTTTGCGTTTGTGACAGGGAGGGTGCCCATAAATGTTTAGAAATTTTCGCGTTTGTGACACGGAGGGTACCCATAAGTGCTTAGAAATTTTGCGTTTGTGGCACGGAGGGCGCTTGTTTTCATGAAAATGGCGCACATCGTAACTCAATTCCTGCCATATGGTACGGCCGTTGCGTATCAAAATTTGCCATAGTCAAGGGGTTAATAA